GGGCGGCAGCGACCCAGCCGAGCGCTGGAGGGCCACCAGCAGGCGGGTTGGCCGCTAGTCAAGAGACATCGGCGCACCGCCAGCCCTCTCTCTAGCTGGGAGAGCATCCATGCTAACTACATACAGCTCTCGCATACCCAGCACTGAATCAACCACACCCGTGTCTGATGCCACAAACACACATCTCGAGACAGATCAGGACAGACAGAAATGACAGGGCAAGTAAAAATCCCTCTGAGATTTTCTTTCGACTAAGCAGTGCACCAAAAACCTGGTGTTATCTCTCATTCTTGCTTAAGTAACTGACAAATATTAAATGGCAAGGTGAGCGTGGTATTAAAATACAGGAAGGGCAAGGACAGGTTTTCTGTGAAAATGTCTCACTCATTTCTTTGGTTGTGAGACTCCGGCTATGAAAAAGAACTCTCTCTAGTGAATAATGACATGTTTATAATCTTTATGCTTCCCTCACTTGAGGTGCTCTGTTCATCTCCTCGCAAGTCTCAGAGTTTGTATGTGATGCTTGTAGTTGTTTTTTATATCATTCCCAGAGCAAAATACAAAGCCCGGGGCCTGTACACAGAAATATATGACTTCTGTGGCCTACTGCCGATCCCTTTCCATCTGCTGTCTTGCAATTGTTTGTTGTCTCAATCTAGTCCAAATCCCCCAGTCCATGATTGCAGTGGTAGTGATGGGGGATGACACCCTTTCTTCCAAATTGGTACTGAACAAGGCCTGTTGCATGAAAGTGTCAGAAGGCAGAGCTCGAACAAAACCAACCCCTGAAAGCATAAGAGTTCAAACTAAGCCCCTGGTGTTTTTACCTCCTGAGACAGAAGTAAGGACGTAAGGTCTGGTGACTCTGCTACATCTGTCTCAGATATGTGTCATTGGCCTCACTGACGTTCACCCTACAGCTGCAACAGCACTCAGCACTCACTCTTTGTCCTGCATGGCTTTACAGAATTACTGCAGGGCAGACACAGCCTTGTTTTAAAAGGGAGAGGGGCACTTGTTTGATAAAGCAGATCAACTTTCAGGTTTGGCTAATCCCCTTTCTTCAAGGCTGTCACCTAAAAGAAAGATCCTAACTCTCTGTTTATATACATTTGCACCAGGCACAGCTTTAGTACAGGCGAGTTTGCAAGTGTCCCATGAGGTATGAAGAAATCAGTTTGCTCTTCATAAGGAAAAAAAAAAAAGGTGTCATTTAAAAGCCAAATGATTTGGGGACTAGATCAAATCTCTGTCAATGTAATACGCTGTGGGCAAATGCCCACTGGTCACTGGGGAAAACAAAGGTTACAAAGTGATAGCCATATTGAAGAAAACAGAGTATCTAGCAATGGGAGAGAGACCCCAGAGCAAACACACCGTGGTTGGGACCATCAGTGGCTATGACAAGCACTTTTTTAATTGTGTAACTAAATCCACAGGCCTTGGCTAGCTCACGTGAGAGGGGTGGCAGGTCTGGAGGTCATCACGGGGGAATAATGAAGAGCATGCTTCAGTCCATGTGCTGGCAGTATGATTGTTCTCTTTCTTCTCCTTACTCCACAGCGCCTTGTCTCCATGAATATGCCACTGAACAGTGATGGGACTGTCATGTTCAATGCCACTCTCTTTGCACTGGTCAGAACAGCGTTGAGGATCAAGACAGAAGGTAAGAAGGTTGCTGACTACAAGGTAGCTGAGTGGTGTTCATGCTAAAGCCTGCTGAGCTGGAATACAACGACAAGGAAATCTTGTGTAAAATGATCCCAGTTACTCATATGCGGCACATGGTAAAAAAAGCAACGTAAAGATGTTTGGCGAAATATCTTCTAGAGAGAACAGTGTTTCCAGTTACCTAGAAAGTATTCCCATAGTATCGTCTCAGATTATCGATCGTGTTCTTTACAGTGGTCTCAGAGTTAAAAGTTTTAGATCAATGTCCGCTCAAACAGCAACCAGGGGAAGGAAAAAGGGCAAAGAAGCCTCCCCTTGTGCAAACCCACGGCTTTTTGACCTCTGTTGCCACTGATCTTCCAATCCAAGGCAGGCAAAAGAGCTTGGCCTCGAGGGTCTCACCCCACTGAAACTCCCACTGTGCTTCCATTAGCATGAGTTAACATCACACTGTAGTGACAGAGGTGTTGTAGCCTAAAGACAGATGAGAAGCAAAGGGACTGTTAATAGCTTTGCATAGACCAGCGGCTACAGTTGGGGAAAGCAGACAAGATTTGGGGCTCAGCTTGTCCCCTTTGTTGCACTCTGTCGCCTGCTGTAATGAGAGATATTGGTCCTGAGTCAAAACCTGGCTTCATGTAATAATGACATGCCCTGAAAGAGCGTGTAGGTCTGTGATTCACAGCTAAACACCTCTGGCTCAGGAGTGGCCGCATTACATTTCAGGCATGGGAAAGCAGAGACCAACACAACCCTAGCTTGCTGTGCCAGGATTATACTGACAGCTGAGCCAAAAAGAGTGGTAAAATTTAAAAATTATATTAAGGCCTTGGATGTTGTGCTAAACAGAACTTGACTGTAGCCAAAGAGACTTTCCTGAGGAAAAAGCCAACCACAACCCCTGTAGAACATCTTGTGTCTTATGAAACAGAGACCCAAAAAGGATTCAATTTTTTTTTGTCTGTCTTTGCCTCAAACTCTCCAAGTCATTGCCAGTGAACTCCTGGGAAACCACCTAAAATCCTCAAACTGCTTGCTTTCTTGCCTTAGCAGGATTTTGTAAGTGGTTAGGGCAGGAGTTTGGAATTAGCCTTCCTGGGTCAGATTTCTGCCTTTGATGCTGTCCACCTGTTTGATCCTCAGTAAGTTACTTAGTGTCAGGACGCATCTTCACTGCATCCCATTAAGGGAGCTACTGGCATGCAGAGCCCTGTGCGGCACATTGAGGAGCCTTAGTGCTGGGGAGCATTAAGAAAAGCTACGGGAACAGCGCCTTTAGGAGGAGAAGGTAGTGGTTTAGTACACATAGGGAGAGAAGAGAGCTTCAATTATGAGGGGGCTGAATGTACATAAATCAAGAAATAAAATCGAAGGTGAGTCATTTGGGAGGAAATGGGTACCTAGAAGGAAAGGATATAAACCGAACCTGCTTCACTCACTCTCGAGGGGTAGTATGGCTCGATTAATGTCTCATTTAGCTCAGAGCCCCTTGGAGGAACATGTAATGTCTAAGTTCAGACAGTTACATAAAAGGCTTGTTAGAGCCTATGCTGTTCTTTAGAGAATAAACGCAAATATCCTGGGACAGTCCTCTGAGTTGGATAGCGAAAGCCTTGCACACGCTCAGAGTGCCTTGTCAGAGCACTGTGCAGGCTCTCCAAGGCAGACTCTTGGCACCATGTGAAGAACTTGATATCTGCTGGGAGGCAGGGATTGCAACAGGTAATTCTTGGGAAGTGCTGCAGGCAGGCCCAGGTCTTCAGATTTCTAGGTGCATCTTTACCACTAATTATTTGTCTTCTCCAAGCTGTAGTTTCCCAGTAACTGACCTCTGTTCTTATCATATTCAACCTTCACTGGATCTCAATTAAAATTTGAAGTGTTAGATGGGATTGTTGCTTTTCAAGACAAAGTAGCACCATGGTTCTGTTGTTTCTGGCTGTTGCAGACTATGAATAAGTAACGCAGTCTGCTTCCTACCCTGAGATGACTATGCATATTTAGGAAGAAGACCTCTTGCTGTGAGAGGGCTTTAGAAATGGTCAGAGCATCTCTTTGCCCAAAACTTTCCACTACTGAAAAAGCTCTGATATTTTCCTTCTAAGATGGCCATGCCAGACATGAAATTGTTCCTCTGCAGGGTGTGCTTAATTCCTGTCTCTGATGATTTTCACCCTGCAGGTAACCTGGAGCAAGCCAACGAAGAGCTGAGAGCAATAATTAAGAAAATCTGGAAGCGCACCAGTATGAAGCTGCTGGACCAGGTGGTGCCCCCCGCAGGTGGTGAGTGCAGGATCTTGTCCCAGACTTTGAACGTCTGTCTTTTTCCCCACCTGACATGTCCTACCGCACCTCATGATCATCAGGTGGAATATGGGGGACAAGCTTTCTCCTACAAGATGCTATCTATATTTCATCAGGCTGAGATCTGTTTCTGCCTGTACTAACGTTAATATCATGTTCTTAGTGCTGAGAAATCAGGGAAGGAAGAAAAGATGTATAAACAGGAGTTAGGAACCTCTATTCCTAGATCTCGTTCCAGTTTGATCATAGGCATTTGCTTCCCTGGACATTACCTGGTGCCTGCTGGGGGCAAAGGAAGCAAGCAGAGCTAAGGCTCCAGGAAGGATGATGTGGACTTCATCTGACTGCTAAAAGATACTGCCTTACACTCAAGTTAAGGATGCAGCCCCATCTCATAACCCCTTCGTATTTAGCAAAACTACCTCTACTATGGCATATAATTCTTTTTTTTACTCACATAACTGCTTTCTACTATGATACCTGGGGACATTCCTTAGCTAGTCTGAACTAGTGTAACAAATTGCTGTGGGTTTCTATGCAGCGTCCCTGGCAGGCTGTAATTACCAGGCTTCTGGGACACTCCTTTGCTAAGCTTCTTGGGACCCGAGGTGCACGGACATCCAGTGTGGCCTTCACTGACCTTCCAGGTGGCTCCAGGGGCTGTAGCACAAAACACCCCTTGGTAGTTGGTTAACAGTTGCAGACAGATCCTGAACCTCGCTCAGCCTGCTCTGAAGTCAGTGGACCATGTCTTATAAAATTTCCATTGGGTTTGGAGAAGGGAGGAGAGTTACCTGGATAAAAACTTAATGCACATTTTGGCTCATTGGCAGTTTGTATTGAGTGAGAATACAGCAATGGCTGTGTTTCTGGGGAGAGGTGATCACTTTTGTTCGCTCACACCCATGCTAGGCACAACAAGACAGAATTTCAATGCAGAGAAGGGCCAGATCAGATCTGGAACGGATGGTCCGTCAGATGCTGTTGGTGAGCCCAGACCCTGAGTATGTCTTACCCCAGGATACCACAAGACAGAGCAGCATGCGTTGACCCAGACTGGGAGTCTGCTGCTATAGTAAGATCCTATGTTGTAAGCCAGTATCAAAGACTGCAAATGTTAGAGGCACTTCACCATAAACAACATACATCCAGAAGCGCGTAGCTATAGGGGTTCTGCGCCAGCAGAGCCAGTCTATCCAAATGCCATGTGCACCTCTCCCCCTGACTATTTATAGCAAGCTCTGGCCGTGCAGCAATCCCTTCCTTCAGCTCTGCATCCTGATGCCATAAAAAGCGGAGTTGTACTGCGGTACCTAGTGTTTCTGCTGTGAATTGCAAGGCTCACATTAGCAAATACACTGTTTAAAATCAGTTGCTTATGTAATTATATATACATATTTTTAATACCCCTTTGCAGATGACGAGGTGACCGTTGGGAAGTTCTATGCCACTTTCCTGATTCAGGAGTATTTCCGGAAGTTCAAGAAGCGTAAAGAACAGGGACTGGTGGGCAAGCCCTCCCAGCGCAACGCGCTCTCCTTGCAGGTGACAACCGGGCACAGGACGGACAGGGGTGGTACAGTAGAGGCATTTGACCCCACTTCCCTCTCAATCATTCTGGGGACTGCAATGGGCTATCCCCACTGGAAAGGAGCTTGTAGACCCCTTGAACTGCCACATCAGTCCTTTTGGGTAAACATGTATGTACCATGGGCCACATCCCTGAGCTCTGGAGGCAGAAGGCACAAGTGAGGTATATCCACAGTTTATCAATCTGCTGGCTATATTTGATATTTGGGCTCCTTTTAGAGAACTGATATGAAGTATCCAGCAGACATTTGCTTATTACCACATTCATTCTACCCTTTCTGAGAGGAATCACTGTAACAAGATCAGGGAGAGCATGTTGCCAGGAGGCAAAATCAGTTAAAAAGCAAAAAGCATACCTGGATGCTAAGGCCATCCAACGGAGAGGGAACTGGGCTCTAAGACCTGGGATCCGTTCACCGCTGTGCTACATGTTCACTGGGTGGGCTACCAGGCTGTGTGAAAGAAGGAAAAAGCCCTATTGACTGTACAAGCAGCACCATTTATGTCCCTTGAGTGTACAGTAAGGAAGAATGGTGACTCTAGAGTTCCAGCAAGCTAAAAAGTGCTGTGAAGCAGCCATAGATATAGACCGAGGTCTCAGCATAACCACAGCTTACCTCCCTGGATGGACTCCCTGGAATGGATTTCAGACAGTGAGGGGCTTGAGAACTGTCCAGGTCCAGATGCCAGAAGTTTAGCTATAAAATACATATTTAAGCTGCTGATCAAAAAAAAAAAGATATTTTCAGAGGCACTGAGTACGTGGTTCAGCTGGAACTGTGGCTGCTTTAGGGCTTCTGGTTGCGGATCTGAGAACCCAAAATTGAAAGCATGCAGACTTGCTTCGTCAAGCCTGTGGATTTATGTCTATGTCCTGTTGTGATGGAGCCAGGGAACTAGCAACAAACATTCCTGCGTTGAATTGCTATGAGTTTTTCCCTCTTTACGCTGGAGATGAAAGAACAGAATTTGTTGGTGTTTTTCTAGGAGCTGGGGGTGCTATATTAAGTGAGAGGGCTTCACAGTGCTTAGGAAGAAATAGCACTGCTTTTATTTCTCATATGCCCAGTCGGAGATATGAAGCTCTATAGTTTGCTGTTTTGCAGGCTGGTCTGCGCACACTTCACGACATTGGGCCAGAGATCCGACGAGCAATTTCTGGAGACCTGACAGCTGAAGAAGAGCTAGATAAGGCCATGAAAGAAGCTGTTTCTGCTGCCTCTGAAGATGATATCTTCCGGGTAGGTGGTGAACAAGTTTACAAGCTGAGGCTAGACCAGTAGCCGAGCTCAGAGAGTGCTACATTCTCTTTTATGCACTCTGTATTTCAGCTGGGCCCTCCTTGTTTTCTAGACCCTAGAGTAGTGGACTCAGGGTGTCAGATCCTGAGATCTTTGCACAGTTTTTATCCCATTTTCTTCTCAATAGAAGTTTCCCTCATAAAACCTAAATAAAATCAGAATAAGAATAGCCAAAGAGTCTGAAGAACAGATCAGTTCAGACATCCTACAGTCTGCAGAGCAGCAGTCAGGCACACTTTGGTGTTTTGTTCACTCCTCCTTTCAGTAGCACAAGTAGTGTCCTTCCAAAAAGTGCACCTGAACCCAGTAGAGCTCCTATGGAAGGAGGACATTTTCTAGGACAAAGTTACCTAGATCTTCTCTTTCTTATTTCATTCCTATTTCTTGTAATTGTCTTTTCTGGTAATATTTCCTCTCCTTTGGCATTTTCCTCCTTTCCTTTCAGAAAGATGCTGTCAGTCCCTTTCATTACTCATCATCTAAACAGTACATAACTGGCTCATTAAATCTTCCTTCATTTGTTCCTCCAGGTGATTAATAGTTTCTGGTGCTCTTCTCATGTCTAAATGTTGCTTTGTAACTGTATTGTGAAATCCAGAAAGCAGTTACCTGGTTCTTGCATCCCTACCCAGTCCTGCACTCCCATGACTGGTGGGAGGTGTAGAGACACCTTTGCCTCACCTATGCACCTGGCTGGTCCTCTGAAATATCTTAGAAAGCTAAAGCTTTCACAGCCTGTGTGTACCTAGTTTCTCTGACAGAGAAGTCCATGCACTATCCTCTGGCAGAGAGAGCACCAGTGCCATCATGCACACTTGTGTCCTCACATTTCTTTTCCTCAACAACAGGCTAAGCAGGAAACACCAGGGCCATTGCACATCTTCTCCCTCACAAAGGGAAAATAATTTCTGTTTCTCTGACAGAGAGCTGGAGGCTTGTTTGGAAACCATGTCAGCTATTACCAAAGTGATGGCAGGAGTGCGTTCCCCCAGACCTTCACCACCCAGCGACCTTTGCACATCAATAAGTCTGGCAACAACCAGGGAGATACTGAGTCTCCATCTCATGAGAAGCTGGTGGACTCCACCTTCACTCCCAGCAGCTACTCATCTTCAGGCTCCAATGCCAACATCAACAATGCCAACAACACTGCCCTGTGCCGCTTCCCCAGCCCACCCAGCTACCCCAGCACTGTCAGCACAGTGGAAGGCCATGGGACCCCCTTGTCACCCACCATATGTGTGCAGGAGGCTCCTTGGAAACTACCTTCCAAAAGGTAAGCTTCACAGAGCAAAGAGTGGGTCAAGGGACCAGGGAGAGGAACATGCATGCAAACACCAGAGCTCTGCTGCCTAGCTGAAGTCACCCACCAGACATTGCCCAGCCTGCAGCCTGGATTGAGCCTTCTGGTTCTCCACTTGCGCCAAAGCCCACAGTGCAACAGATACACATCAGTTGACCACTGCAAAGCAGCAGCACTCTCACTGACCAACACACTTGATTTCTTTGGGCTTTATCATGAAGAAACCTTTGTAAGAACCAAAAGGAGCTTTCTGTATCCTTCCTTCACCACATGGAGGTGTTTTGTCAACTGCTAACTGAAAGACAAAGGGACTGCAATTCATCTCTTAGGAGCCCAATAGGGACCTTGGTGGGAGACAGCGGTTTTTCAGTGGGTCACATCCCTACAGAGGTCACCAAAGGCATTCTGCGAGGCATTTCTCAGAAATGCAATACTGCGCAAAGCAAAGAAAATCCCTTTCTCTGGACAGCTTTCAGTCTGTCTACACGTAGATGACAGATACGAAAGGAGTATCATTTTTCTCAGTGGGGAATTTTTTTTTTACCATCTCAGTAACAGCAGGAAGGAGGTGGAAAAAATTTTTCAGTGCAGAGAGTGGGCAATGTGAAAAGGTGAAATGCTGCCCCAGCAAAGAACAGAATAGGACAATAAGATGGAGGAAATTCAGTGGGTGCAGAATTGCCCAAGCAAAGAGTCCAGTGGTGTTTCTATTTCATGCCTTCCTGAGGGAGGCCGCAGGAGTTGCACAACATGTGTTACCATCTGCCCTCCCCCTTGCTGACTTGTGCTGATGTGATGCTGATAACATGGTGTTCTTTTCTCTTCTTGCTTCCTTGGGTGCCTTCCTTGAATTAGGACGCATTACTACGAAACACTGGGACGGTACGTCTTTTCCCTCATGCTCTAATGCTCTCTGGGTGTGAGACCCATTGTTTGTCCCATTGAAAGTCCAAATCCCTATTAATGCTGAACATGAGCTTTTCTTTTTGGTGTCAGTAGGGCTGAAAAACAGGTGACAATCACCATGACATCTCCAGAAAATACTCCCAAATCAGGGCTTTTCTGCCCACAGGCAGGTAGTGATGCGTGGACTGTTTCTAGCTGGTTTCTAGATTTGGGGTTTTTTTTACAGCTTCTAGCTGGGCTCACAACATCTAGGCACTCTCTGTTCACAGTATGCAGTGGCATGTTCGTACAAAAATTCTGTAGGGTTTTGGCTACGCACAGACTGTTGAATAGGGGGAGCTGCCACATACTGATTTCTCCCACCTGCACCTTAGCAGTTTTACTTGCCTCCCATCTCAGCAGAAAGGTCACTCCAGCACTATCCTAAAGGCTCTTCTATACCATACATATGCACATTTCTCCTACTGCTTTTTTTCTCAAATCAAATGACAAAATAATGTTTCCTATCCAGTCCCTGAAAGATGAAAAAAACCTGCCCCACAGGTCTCTTCTGCGAATGCTAGTGACAGACTGACATTGGCTCCAACAGCTCCATGTCAGTATCTCGAAGACTCACACTACTTTCAGATTTTACTTTACTCCTCAGAAAACACAAACTCAGATTGAAGTATGAGGACTGAGAAATGAAACAGAGGGACAAGGAGGAGGCAAGCAGGGAATGCAGGGCTGTCGTGCTTAAGGGTTTGAACAGACCCTACCAAATTCAGTAGAAGCACTCTGCAGTTAGTGATGAGAAAAAAGGGACCAAGGATGGAAACGACAGCAAGGAACGACAGCATGAACAGGAGGCAGAGGGGAGAGATGGTGCAGAGTAAGGGATTTGGGAGGCAGAGACCATACACCGCAGAGCTGAGAGGGTTACTGTTAGTGTCTAGGAGGCTTCTCTGAAATTCGTAACGAAGGCTTTTGCCACAAAGGAAAAAGCTGTATTTCCAAGAGCCCTTCTCAGATTTTACTTCAGTTCAGTGAGGTCTATCTTTGGAAATGTGGTCAGTGTGATGTACACATTTATAGAGTACATGTCGTCACAAATGACAAAAATATGTTTACAGTATTGTTCAGCATTGATTTAAGAAACTCTTCCTCTGAAAGAGGACACAGACAAAGGTTGTTGCTTTGTGTTTGTGAACTCTGCAGCTCTGTTCAGTCATTAATTTCTCTATGATAGCTCTTCAACATTAAAATAAACTAAGACAGATGGAGCCTGTCATTCTTGTCTTTATAACAGGTTGTCTTTACCATCTCCATATCTTGACTTGTCTTTTTTGCTCATTAGCTCCAGTTCCAGAGACAGCCAGCTGGCAATTGTTTGCCAAGAGGAAGTGTCTCAGGATGAGACTTATGATGAAAATTTGAATGAAGACATTGAGTACTGTAGTGAACCAAGTCTGCTCTCTACTGAAATGTGAGCTTTGCAGCTTTAGTCAAGGTGTTTGGGTGGTTCTTTAATTAAGGGGGAGAGGTGGGAAAAAGTGAGGGTTTTCTACAAAAATTTAAATTTATGGGATAAGGCCAGAAGATTTTAGTCAGACAACTGAAATACCAGAAAATAATTTAAAAAAAAAAATGCCGTTCAGCCCCGAGAAGTAAGGATATCTTTCACCTAGGATTTTCCTTCTCCTCTGAATGAGACATCTGGATCTGCAGGGCCTCCCCCCGCCCTTCACTTCTACCATCGAATGTTCCCAGATCTCATCTTTAGAGCATTCTCTGTCTCACGGTCTCTTTTACTGCTCCTGGTCCAGTTATAGCTCGAAGCTAGCTTGCTATTGCATCCATTTGATAGCATGATCTTCCTGGTTTCCCTGCTGGAAGAAGGGTTATTCTGTGCATTATAAGCTGCTTTTCTAGAATCCCTCTGTTCTCCTTTCCAGGCTTGCATACCAAGATGATGAAAACAGACAACTTACTCCACCAGAAAACAACAAAGGAGAGGACACCCGGCACTCTCCGAAGAAAGGGTTTCTGTGCTCCTCAGCACTAGGTAACATCCCAGTGTGACGTGTGGGCTGTGCTCTCCGCTGCCTTGACTGGGGTTCTCACATCTTGCTGGAGGAATCCCAGCCTGTGTGGGCATGGGTGTTGCTGTTTGCTGCATTTAGCTCGTGAGACCAGGAATCCCACGGTGTGCAAACGATCCTGGTCATGCACATGACTCTACTGACTTTATGCTCAGTCAGTAGATGAAACTGCAGCTGTTTGGATAGTCCGTGGGATCTGTTTGATTAAGCCCACCTGTGAATTGGGGGAGTTTATTAGACCACTGTAGATTCTCCAAGGAGTCACCAAGGAGTCACCGAATGGGCTAGCCTTGAGTGTATGGTGTTCTGTTCTGGGTGTATTCAGCAGGGAGAAAAGACAAGTTGTTTCTTTTGTCCGCTACGATGAAAACAGTGAATTTCAGATTAGGTTAATACAATACAAATTTGCTTTCTGCTCTAATTGTACCTGGAGATTTTTCAAGTGCTCGAGTGTGCAAACTACGCCCAGGTAAAATCCGTGAATCACAAGTTTTTATGAAAGTATCAGGACAAATACGAGAGTCTGGAATAAAAAGACCTCTTTTATGTAGAATATTTTTCAGCCTTTTTCCTGAGTACTGGTGTGGAGAAAAAGGACATTTAGCAGAGAAACTAAAAAGAATCCTGTGTATAAAATATATTATTACAAAATAAAAGTGACAGACTAGGTTGTGTAATGTTTAAAGTGAGGCTACCAAGTCTTCACTCAAATCCTCCAGGATGCTTGTACAATTGGCTATTTTAAAAGCGTTTACTTTATTTTAAAACTTAAAATATTAGGCAATGACAATTCCTATATCTATCTGTAAGGCCAAATTTGCAGTCAGTCCTTGATACAGTGCTTCATTAACTACATTCCAGTGGATATTTATAGTGATGTCATACTCATTTTACTAGGATTTTTTCTCTAGAAAGAGAAAATTCTTTTTATCTGCATTGTAGCATTCGTTCTCTGGGTTGTAACATGTTTCTTCCAACCCGTGAGAGGGCCTTTTCTCAACAAATCAATATTATAGATACTATTTTCAGAATTCTAGTTTTCTTTCCTTCTTTAGAAAAATGTCAACAGGATTGAGAAGTCCACAAAATATGTTAGTGTGCCATACAGCTCTATCTTTAATACTGGATTTATTTGCCATTCTTGGGAAGTAAAGCCTGTGCACTTGTTCAGAAACATACTTTGCAGTACTTTTAAATTCCTGCATAGGGAGTACCTTTCTCCTATTTAGAGAAGTCAAGTTTACTTTTATAGCAAGTAGACAATGTGACGGTTTCAATAGTTTCCCCTAAAATCGTTTTTTTTTAAGAGAAAAAAAGCTTTTTTTTCTCTTCCCTTCTCTCCAAATTTTGAATATGCTTCATGTCTATATAAACTGCCTTCCATTCACCAGTGAATTCAAACATTGATTAATTCACTTCCACTTGACCTTGCTATAGACACAGCCTCATAAGCTGTGGTATGTCTGGCAGCTAAGGGACACAGATCACATGCAAGCGGGAGGCCGATGTCACCTGAGCAGCCTGACGTCCCCTCCTGCACGATGTGTACAGCCAGGCACGGCACCAGAGCCTCAGCTGCCATCATCGGTCCCGCTGAGGGCTTTACCTCAACCAGAAAGGTCTGAGAACACTTCCACTGCTTAGGAGGGAAATCAGCTGCCTGGTATCTACTAGGACAGTGGGTTTTTTTAAAGAGGAAAAGTAAAAATCATCATCCAGAATTTTATCTTGCAGCTTGCTTGGAAGGTAGTGCTCGTTGGTCCATGATGCTTGACTGCTTTCTGTAAATACAAATCCTTTGGAAAAGGCAAGGTGTTGAGGGCTTGTTGAGGACAGAGCCTAAAATGTGGGTGTCTTTGCTGTACCTCCAAAGGGACTGCACTACAAGAAATTGAAATCAGATTAACTGTAGTGTAGTATGAACGATTGACATAGTTGTGTGTGATTGCTGTTTCAGGTCGAAGAGCATCTTTTCACTTAGAGTGTCTGAAAAGACAGAAAAACCAGGGCGTAGACGTCTCACAGAAGACAGTTCTGCCTTTGCATCTGGTACATCATCAGGTAAGCATTAATAACCACAAAGGGCCCAGCAATGTAACAGACCCTACCATCTGCAATGCTCCCCCATTGTACCCCAACTAACTTTTTAAAAACCATTTGGGATGGTTTCTCACCCATATCAAAGGTCCAGTTTTTAGAAATCAGATTTGCCATCATGCTCATTCCTGATTTCAGGATTTTTGTCATTCCCAGAAGAATGCTACAGGAACATGTCCTTTGGAGTCAGCAGAGTTATCATTTTCTGATGTCTATGAAAGAATAAAATAAAAAACTAGCTAAAAGATTTAAAAAAAAATACCCAAATTGCATACTGCAGTGCAATTACACTGGCTTTGATGGTAGTATGCATATGAATAAAATGTGCAGGGTCTACTTTCACATTAATTAAAGGTAATCAGTAACTGTAATTAATCATTTTAAAACATAAACTGATTACATGTAATTAATCAGCTTCTTAAGCCCTTTGTAACTGCATTCAGCAACCTAGCAAATGTATGCTTAGGCACGTACCTAGATGATTAGCCAGCTGTCATAGTCCAAAGTAGCTTTGTGTCTTTTAGTTTGATGATGCCACTTTTTGTCACCATGAAAGAAACAGGTGCAGATGGTAGTGCCAGCCTTGAAAGTGAGGCATCCTGCTCTCTGCAGTCCCCCAGGGCAGGGCAGAATGGCCTTACCGTCTCCCCGGGCTGCCACCGAGGCAGAAAATGCCAGGCGGCAGGGGTGGGAAGAGTGAGAAGTCAGAGCAGAGGGCTGAGATGAGCGCGCTTGAGGCTCCCTGGCTTTTCTCACCTCCACTCCCAGACAGTTATCCTTTAAGGATCAAGCTCCAGAAAGCAGTGGTCTGCAGAGAGTTACAGCTGTGGTGGGGATAACCAGCAAATGTGTTGGGGCAGGGAGGAGTGGGCAGGAAACAGCTTCCCACCTTCCCCACAGCAGCAACGGCCCTCCCATGGCAGGACAGGCATAGGGGACACGTGCTTCCTACTCTCTCAGCCCACCTAGCCAGCAGAATCACCTCCCTCCAACCTGTACAAAGAGGATGGAGCTACTTCACTCTTCCTCATCCCACCGTGCAACTCCAAACCTAGAGGGATGGGGCTCTACCCACCCCAGTGTCACTCAGCCAAACTGAAGGGTTACCCTGAAATAGGCATCTGGCCTCCAGCTGACAACACTCAGCAGTGTTCATATGTCTACAAAAATGTTAGCCTACAACAGTGCTTAAAACAAGAACATAAGGTGGAAAGGTTGCCTCTGCTAAGCACCATAGATTTGGTTGCTCGTGAATGCTTGAAGGGGTATTCTCAGGAAATACTCATACATCATGATATGTAAATATATGCATGCCTGCAGGGCATGACTTGTACAGATGAATTTTTAAGGCCCTACTTCCTCACTGAAATTCGATAGGAGTCTGACATCTAATTCCTGAGAAAATCTCGGTGAGGCTTCTACGTGACTAATAATTGATTCTTTTCTTCATCTGTCACTGACATCATCAGCAGAGCATTGTTATTGGTTCCCAAGGATTTCACTGGCAGATGGACTAAGCTTCACCTAACTTTAAATACCTTAAAGTCAGCTGTCTAGTTCAAACTGGTCAGTTTAGTCTCTCTGTGGTCAACAGGGGGAAAGAGCGTCTCCAAAGTAGGCAAGCGTAAGTCTTCTCTGTGTTGTCCTCCAGACAGCATTTTCAGGCAGGTATCCAAAAGAGGCAGGAGGCTGGCTTCTCTCTGCACAGTTAGCTTAGGCTAAACGCATAGCCCTCAGGTGGCTGAAGGGGTATGAGACCAACCCCAGCCCTCCCGTCTCCAACACAATCCACATGCCTTTGTATTTCCTATGCATTTTTTAATTTGCTCATACTAGGCAGTAGCGAGCCCTGTGAGATGAGCTTGTGACTCTGACGGCATTGCTTATGGAACAAGGCAGCAGTCACCATGAATAAGGCATCAGATCAGCCCTGTGCTACAAGGGGCTTCTTGAGAAATTTGCTATAAAAGGAGGCTGGATGACTCAGAGCTTGTGCATATGATTAAAGGAAGGACTGGATGGCTCAAAGTATAATCATCAGATATTGATCCTCTCACCAACAGGAAATGCCTTAAAATCCAGTGGTGGATTTATAGTTATAGCCAACTGCAGACATATCTAAAATTCACATCTGGTATCCGTTCAGCTTCCACAGTAGATACTTACAGAAAACACAGCAATTGGCAGTAAAAGCTAGCGGTATGGGTGGTGGCAGTGGTGGGAAAATGAATTGCTGTCTTACCCACTGGAGAAGAGGTGGTGTTTCTGGCAAGGCTGTGAGGAGCGGAGCTGCATCTCTCCTGTCGGTGCAGTGGCTCCAAGGCTGAAGAACTGGAGTCATGAGAGTTTTCAGTCTGGTGCTTGGCACTAGCGCAAGATACACCATTTAAAGGAAAGCTTGCAAAATGAGTTCACAGGAAACATCCAAACCATTCCAGCAGCTGGCACCTGTTTTCACAAGCCTCGAGACCCTCCAGGCCTTTCTCGGGTAGTTTCTCCAGCACTTCCTCCTTCCAGCCCTGCTTCTAAGAGCAGCCTCTCACTCGTTTCGTTCCTCCTCTGTCCGCAGGCGTTAGCGGTGGCCGGCCTGAGTCCCCTGCTCCAGCGAAGCCATTCCCCCACCATGTTCTCTCGGCTGTGTGCTACGCCCCCCGCAACACCCTGCAGCCGTGGCTGGCCGCAACAGACCATCCCGACTCTGCGCCTCGACGGGGCAGAGTCCAGCGAGAAGCTCAACAGCAGCTTCCCGTCAGTACACTGCGGCTCTCGGTACACTGACACCACCGGCTGCAGCAGCCCGAGGAGAGCCAGACCGGTCTCCCTCACCGTCCCCAGCCAGAGCGGAGGGAGCAGCAGGCAGTTTCACGGCAGCGCTGGCAGCCTGGTCGAAGCGGTAAGGCTGCAGAGTCACGAAAGAGACGAGCAGTGTCAAGGCCAACTAGAAACGCGGCCCTCAGAAGAGCAGGGCAACAGATGTACTGCTGCCCGCAATGCCAAGAGCAGGAGAGCCCATCTCCAAGCGGGGGTTAGCAGCATGAATGGGAGAAGGAGCATTGGGGAAAGTACAGCGGTAAAGAGGGTTGTGATGGGGTGCGATAGGGTTGATGATGCAGGGTACTAATGTATGTCTTTGTCTCTGGTTTCCCTGCCTGCTTTCGAAGGTCTTGATTTCGGAAGGACTGATGCAGTTTGCTCAAGATCCAAAGTTCATTGAGGTGACAACCCAGGAGCTCGCAGACGCCTGCGACATGACGATAGAAGAGATGGAAAATGCAGCAGACAACATTCTCAATGGTAACAGCAAGCAGAGCCCCAATGGCAACCTCTTGCCTTTTGTTAACTGCAGGGACCCAGGGCAGGACAGTGCAGGAGAGGAAGAGGAAGAGGTGCAGAACCCGGATTGTAGAAAAAGTCAGGAGGAGCTCAAGGACAGCAGGATTTATATCAGCAGCCTGTAGTTGCCAGGGCTGGAAGCGATGCTGGTTTTTTATTTGTTTCAATGTTCCTAATGGGTTTGTTTCAGAAGTGCCTCACTGTTCTCGTGACCTGGAGTAACCGGAACAGCGTTCTTCATTCATTTCTGTTGGGACGAGTCGCAGAGTTGGGTGGTGTAAGAAAGCTTTTCAGGAGCGGATATAACCCCAGCACGTGTCCATGAAGGAAGAGTGAGGAGGAGGAGGAGGAGGAGGAAGAGGAGGAGAGCCAGCTCCCTCTTTTTTTCAGTCCCTGCACAAGGAACGACGACTGCCTCCCGAGTGCAAAGGGGAACCTCAGCTTCCTGTGGGTGGCCCCAGCCAAAAGGACCCTGCATCAAACGGGTGTCTTTCAACTTTGCTTGTAAAAATCATTTTGCACATATTCTGTATGAGCCTCACCGTCTCCATAAAGCCAAGGCCCTTTGATTCGGAAGGAGAGGAGGACTTCTTCTGCTGTGGATTCCCGTACCGCCAAGGGGAGGAGGAAGCAGAAGAAGCCCGAGGGCGCCCGTGGGGCAGGTGGCCGACGCTGCCCAACCCTGCCGAGACTCCCAGGCAGCGGTCTCTGCCAACCAATCCGAGCTCAGGCAGCCACTCCTGCCGACCAATCGGAGCTCGAGCAGTCACTTGCCAGCCAATCCGAGCTCAGGCAGTCTCCTGCCGACCAATCAGAGCCCTGCCGTCCCGGCCAGGGGGAGAGCGGGGAGCAGGCTCTGCGGCGGGGCCGAGCCGACCTGCCCCGCACTTGCTGAGGTGGTGGTGGGCTTGTGTAGATCTCTCCTTGTTTTGCAGTTTGATATTTTCTTGAAAGCATGTTGCAGTTTTTATTTTGACTATTTTATTAATTTTTTTTTTTTTTGGAGGGAGAAGGGAGTGTTTACAACGTTTTGTAATCACCTACCTTTTTGTTTGGGTTTATTTTCACCTTTGCAAATGTTAAATTGGTTTGATCATGCATTATTTAAACTGGGTTTCTTTTCTCCATTGAAATTTGGTAGAAGTATAACGATAGACGAGTTTTACCAACCATTATGTACACCGAGAATTTGTAATTTTATTTGCTAGTAATTGAAACCTCCTTTTTTTGTTGTTGTTTTATAATTTAAAGATAGTAGGCAATGCACTTGATATAGTCTTGCACATTTGAGTGATTGATTTGGGTTCTTTTTAGTGCTAAGTATATCTGTGAGCGTGGGAGCAATACGGAGCGAGTGTGCGTGCGCACGCGCGCGTGTGTGTAAGTGCATGCAGTTCTCCACATCCTGATTTGAGCTGCAGGAGATCTGTATCTGGGGCCATTTGAATGCAAAAACAAACCACTGTCTCTGCTTTTGAAAGGGGAATCAGTAACTCTTTGCATCTTCTGTTCCACAAGATATGCAAAAACAATGCAATAATATTAATTTTAAAATACAATTGTAAGTTGTGTTGGCATTAACACTGTATAGAAAAAAATTGCGGGGGTGGGGGGAAACAAAAAAAAAAAAAACACAGAAGGCGTTACGCTTCGATATATACCGTGTGATGTTTTATTGCATTGATAATGTTTCTGTTGAAGAAACCGTTATACTTGAATTCAGGTCAGTTTCAGTATTTTTCAAATATTTTTTTAAAATGAATTGCAATTGTGCCAAGCAAAGATAAATGAATTGAATTAAGTTTGTTTAAAAAAAAAAAGAAAAAAAAGAATCACTTCTTGTATATTTTGCTGCATGTCAAGTGAATCATTTCGTATTTGGAATGTGCCAAGCTTTACCTTTGAACTTTTAAGTGCTTTTCTACGTGTGGTTGGGGAAAGGGGTACTATTTTTTTTTTCCTTTTTTAATTTGTACAATGAACAAAGTGTACCTGGTGTAAGTAACTATTCTGCAATTCACTGACAGGTTGAACGTTACTGATTTTGCATATCTTGTGTTCATTTTCCTTTTTCCTCACTCCCTTTAAACATGCACGATGACTTTATTGCTAGAGAATCTTTCTTCCCGAGACCGGGACGTTTTATTCAGGCTTTGTTCTCTTTCCTTTTCCTCAGTTTCTCTAAAGGGAAGGGTGGCAAGACCCCTAAGCCCATTTGGCAGATCCATCCTATGTTTCAGCTGGCACCAGCAATTTAAGGAGCAGGGAAATAAAAATCTGCTTTCAAATTTCATTTATTAAATAGCTGACCCCGATCAGTTATAACAGGACCCTGGGATAAGCAAATGCAAGAGGCATAATCATTGGCAAAGTAAAATTATCTAACTCTGGTCTGGACTGAAAGCAGAGGGTAAGCGAGGGAGACGGCTCTGGATCATTGTTTAGGAGAATTACTGCAGTCTGGTCAAGATGCAGATGTTAAGTGACTTTTTTACGTTCCTATGCACAGTCTCATCCCTCTTCCCAGACTTTAGTGAATGGGTCAGATTCTAAGTCACAAAACATCTGATGGCACAGCATGTCCCAGCCATACTTCCCTCCTAGTGAGTGTGAGCCTCTCTTGACTTTCCTCACACCGATACTTGGCCCTAACCCGTGAGTGAGGCTGAAAAACCAGGCAGGTATTGTTAGATTTTATGCAACTGATTTTTGTCTAGATAACTGCTGTTTTTTCTCCCTTCTGAAGACGGTTGACAAACTTGCAGACCAGTGCTGAGTTAGGAGGTGTGATCTGACTCAGAGCTAAACTTTCATTCAAATCTTGAGCTTCTGCAGGTGTCAGAGAACATCGTTTATTGCATATATTGATTACATTATTTTTGTAATGCCCTCGTTTTTCTTCTTGATTCTCTGGGGCATAAAGCAGAAATAGCAAAGGGTATTTTGACAGTATATTTTTTTCAGTGTCATTTTGAAGTGGCCAGTAGTAGCTCAGGATACCTTGAAAAAACAACTAAATCCTTTTAAACCAGGGAAATATGAATCCATTTATACAACCATTTGGGATCAAAGTCGTAATTCAGGACTTCCCTGGAGAAAGTAATCAGCTGATATCAGTCAGTCTCATCCTTTCTATCCCTCGTGCCTGTATCAAGATGGGCATGCAAGCATGTCTCCCTTTGAGAGTTCGCTGCTGCTTGCGCTGAAGTGCTCCAAAGCTGCTTGAAAGGAAATAATGCTGTGCCTGGCTGTTTCTGAAAATGAAATCAGCATAAGGACTCCCTGTCTCATTTTCTTCCACTAGAAAGTCCACCTGACCCTCCCAGTGGGAGACAGAGGTGTTCTCTGCTCCTGAGAAACAAATTACTGATCTAAGTTAGTGGTGGCAATGAGCGTTTTGGATGCTTGACAGCACACGTCATCTTTTAGGATTTTTCTTGACAGGACGGAAAATAGTGGAAAGGATTATGCCCCGCAGGTATTTCTGGAGAAAGCTGCGACTCCCCTAGGGGTCAGAGCCTACAATGGCCAGGGGAAATCGCGCGCTCTGCTGCAAGACCCCTTAGGTCCTCCACAGTGGAAAACACATGGCTAGCAGACAGTGCAGATGACTTTTGCGGTTTGAAGGGCAGGTGTTAAATTTAGTAATTGCTGGTGCCGGCTGTGCAAATTTCTCTTTTTGGGGAGGGTGGTATATATTTTTTTTTCATTTGAGATACTTCCAATGTGCACATTGTGACAGGCCTGAGCAAAGAGCTACTGCCTCCTTCAGGTGAGGTAGAGTCTGGGGGACGGTGGGGAGGTGGGGGCAGGTTTAGTTCTTGGAGTGTCCTTCTTTCCCTGTGGTTGGGAGCGGATGGTGGGTACAATCACTGTGCTGTGGATGGAAGCTTTGAAGGAACCGATGGCTGAGGAGTGGCACAGAAGGAAAGGAAAGAATGGAGAAAATGATCTGCTGTTTGCCACTGAGCATCTCTGACTTGCAAGAGTACACTGCAGACTAAAGATGTTTCTTATCAAACAACAAACCTCCTCCCTGTATCACTCCTGCTCATTATTCCAGGCAGTACTGGGCCAGCCACACCGGGTGCATTTCTTTTTTTTCTTCCTTATTTCTGTGTGGCTGACGTGATGGGGAAGAAAGTGGAACTCATGATCCAGAGCTGGAGTTTCGTTATCCACAGACCTTTTTCTGCATCATCTGCCTCTTCAGCTGGACATGTGAACGATGATGGTGTAGATGCTGCTGCTACTGCAGGGGTCCCGCCTGGTTTATTACCCTGCCCACCACACCCCAGCACAGAGGGACAGCCAGAGAGGCGCCATGTACAGAATCGCATCTATTTCTGCTTTGTTTTCTGACTCAGAACCCTGCCCCAATGACTACGACAACGATGACGACAACAACAACAACAAAAAAAGGGCAAATGCATTTTTTACATTTCTTGATAATTTCCAAAGCAATGTATCATTGCTTTCTTTAGACTGACGCCAATATAACAGTTGTATGGGTCTCAGCCAGGCTCCTGTGTCTTTTCTGCCTGATAGTTTCAGATTGCTGTATGAAAAGTATGCGTGTTTGCACACAGACACAATCGTATGAGGTGACGGCACCGCGAGCCCGTGGGGTTGTTCACCTGTGTCATAGATGAAGTTGGAGGCCTTGCTTCATACATGTAGATGAGAAACCCCAACCCGTTGGTCCAGTGAGCTGAAGTGAAGCAGCCCTACTGCGACACAACTGAGTATCCTAAGATATACGCACGGTCCCGTTGTGACTGTCCCCTCGGAAGGGGCAGGGTAGGGGATAGGAACACTGAATGGGGAATTTGGTGCACAACAAAGTTGATAAAAGAGGTAAATCCAGTCGGGGGCTTCTGGTAGGGGTGAGATTTTATCAGTTCCCATAATGAAAACTGTAGTGTATATAAAGAAAATATTCCAGGCCATCAGAAGCCCCAGTTCCCATCTTGCTAACATGAGGATGGAGGGCACTAGAGGCCAAGGAGGTTGTATTGGTGCAAAGAATGCGGAAAACAGAACCGGGCCCAGAAAAATTCAATTATATCTTTCCTCCATTTATTTTCTTCTCCAAAGAAGTCTAAGAAATACAAATTTCAATAGC